GGGGGACGACGAACAGATCGTGTTGAGTGCTCCGCTGTTGGCCGCACATCAGGATCTTCTGTGTGCCGAGCCAGAGGAGCTGACCGACACCGATCGTGTCCTCTTCGACACGACACCTGGAGCCGAAAATGTTGTCCAGAGAACTGAGGACAACTCGGATCCCTCTGTGATGATCACCAAGCTCCAGATCGGCAGTCACGGTGAAGAGGCTGCGACTGATGAAGAGATTGCCTTGGCGAATGCCCTCGGCGTCTACGGTCTCGATCTGGAGATTGGTCGCACCTCTAACGAGGATGCTGAGTCTAACAAAATCTTCAAAGACATTGAGGAGCTCACTGAAGAAGAACTCAGCAAGCGGCCCCGATTCTACGCGAGGGGATCTGTCGGGATTCAGAATTTGATGAGGGAAATGCAGTTGGAGGAGGCCAAGAAACCACCTGTTCCTCCAAAGGCGCGGCCCGCTGACGCGGAGCCTAAGGCAACTGGTATCTTACCTTTGGCCACGAAGGCTCATGCTGTACCTCCTGCCGTGCCGCAGGCTGCATCCTCATCGTCGGCGTCTGGCACACTCCCGCCCAAGGAAGTTCCTGGGAAGTCTGCATCGTCTGGCGCAAAGCCTACTGAACCGTTGCAGCCACCGCCTCCTAAGAAGATGCCTATCACCGCTGTGAAATCGGCACCTACGCCGAAAGCGGAGCACGCTGCCAGTGCCAAGGCAGAAGCGTCACCTCCCGGAAGGGATGGTCAGTTTTGGTTGTCAGGCCCGGACCTGCCGCCCTTCGCGTCTGATCATCGACACCTCAGTGAGGGCCAGCGCTTCAAACTGGGCAAGAAGTGTGCATTCGTCCTCAGAGGCTTCACCAACAAGCCCGAGTACGGCAATAGAACGCCGACAGTGACGATCCGTCGGAACGACCTCTCGATGGACTGGGAAGAGTTCATCGATGCCCTTAGCCAGATCTGGAACGGGCTCAAGGTCTCCCAGATCTTCGAAGTCTTTAAGACTCCAGTCGACGGGAAAGCCCGCTACGAAGTTTACATTCAGAAGCACAATGATCAGGAATTTGACGTGCTTCGAGCTCGGGCTATCCATGGGCATTGGTCGGGGCTCTTCGGTGACGATACCGAACTCGCCGACATCCACTCCGTGGTACATTCCTTTGTGCCATGGGACGCCAGTCTAGCGACTCGGCCTAAGATTCATCCGTTCGACATGTACTCCCAGGAGTTTGTCGATTTCCCTTGCAAACTGGGCTACCACGGCACCTTCATGAGGCACTTCCCAGATATCATCAGATACGGATTGTTGCCTGGTGGTGCCGCGCTCCACGAGAGTGGTAGCAGAGCTTTTGTCATGATGTCAAAGCAACCAGAATGGAAAAGGGATGACAATGCGGGCCTTCGCGAGGCGGCGGACGTCGAGTTCGCCATCGATCTCCAAATGGCCGTCTTGGACGGCGTCCGACTCTTCGAGACTCGCTCCGGGGCACTGGAGACGCCAGATTGGATCAGCAATCGATATCTGGTTTACGCTTATCAGCGGGGCACAGCAGAGCCTGTGTGGGTCAATCCGGCCTACCAGGCGTTCCGTCGGAACATTGACTCCGCTCTAGCGAGCTGGAATAAGGATGGAAGCCACAAGTACATCTTTGGTCCAGATCAATTTGCCTTGGAGCAGCACAACTGTTTTCTCGACTTGTTGGAAAGCGCCGAGAATCTCACCATCGCTGAGTGGGCGCCGGTCGCAATCGACTGCAAGACCCCGTTTCGCATTTCGGCGGACATCTTGAGCGAGGTCGGCGAAGAAGTCATCGAGCGAAGGAAGAACGATGACCAGCTCATCGAAACATATGACGGCTCGCTCGGAATCGGCATCCACGTCTGGCCATCCATGGAAGGCAAGCGGATCCGACTTCGCCAGAGGATTGAACCGAGGCACTGGATCAAACAGGAGTTGGTACTCTACCCCGGGTACCATTGCAGCTCGTGCAATCACAAGTACATCGACGGAATGATCTCCTGTCCAGGTTGCCAACGTCGCCTCATCGAGATGACCGACCTTGCGATTATCGCCGAGCCCGACAGACTCCGGCGAAGCGCCGCCCGAGAGGGCAGGCAGGTCAACATCATTGACTTGCAGCCATCCTCGGGGCTCAAGCACGCGCGTGTGAAGATTCAAGGGCCAGAAGAAAGGGAACGAATCCAAAGCACAGCGTCTGGCATCCGCCAGAAGGTCCTCAATCAGCAGAAGAGAGCGGAGAAGCTCCACAACACCACTCCGCAGGGGCAATACAGTGTGGACCCCATCACTGCTCACAACTACGCCAAAATGGGTCTCAGCTTTCACACTGTCGAGGCGCTGCAACGCTTCGCTAACGTGAGGCTTCCTGATCCTCAGGGCAAAGGAAAAGGGCATGGTTCGTCCACCTACTATGATGCCACTGGAAAGGTTGCCCTCCTCTGGGTGACAGGCCAGCTTGAGATCGACCTCCTCACGGAGTGTCTGATTTGTTTTCATGATCGGTTTTACACCATCAATGAGATTGCAGTTCTCATCAAGGCTGTGAAGTCGAACCAGCATGAGTTTTCCATCCTGCAGTACGATGGGGAGAAATACATCGTCGTGCAGAATGAAATCTTGCCGATCATGGCCGAGCTGGCTACTTTCTTCAAGGCACAACTGCCGCTGAGCCGGACAAGGATCGAGAAGACAAATCCTTCTCTTCGCACCCAGAGAGATCTGCAGGTACCCGCTGAGGCACAGGGACTTGGCAAACGTCAGCTCAACGAGTTGCTGGCCAATACCCCTTACTATCGTCGGTACCAGCAGTACTACATGGACAAGCGCATCGGGGAGAGCGGCCACGTGAGGTTGACCACTTCGGCACCCGCGTCCGAACGTCGCCCACCTGAGCCTCCGGCATCTCCTGCACGACGAGGTCGCAGCTCTGACGAGCGTGCATCGGGTACAGCAGAGCGCAATCGCACAAGGTCCCCGATCGCCAGACATCGTCCGACCGAGGTCCACATCCGGACCAACCCTGGAGATGGAGCGGGCTCATCTACCGATCGCACCCCTCGGGAGCCTGCGATGCCGCCGCCCAGGCGTGTGGCACGTGATCCGTCCAGCTATATCAGTGACGCGGATTGGGATGCAATGCGTGCTGGTACAGGCTTCAGCAGTCCAGCACCGGAAACGGTTGCTCCCGATACCACTATGGATGGAACAGTGAGCGAGACACCGTCCTCTGCTGTTGATCTTGGCACAAGGCGCGAATGGTCCGAGACCTACCGCCGGCGACCCCATGATCCACCGACCTTCGGCGTGTTCTTCGAGACGAGAGATGTCTCCGACCGACAGGTCCGGATGCGTGAGACTGTTGTCAACTTCTTTGAACAGCTCAGGGTCGCAGGATTGTTGTACCCAAACTTCGTGTTGGGGAACGATCTTTCCGGCAACATCATCGATCCTTCGCTTGCCAGGCGAATGGACTGGCACCGCGTTGACATGTACCAATGGGCGGTGTTCGCTGCGATGACCGAAGATTACATCCAGCCTACTTCAGTCGTGAATGCCATTCCTACTCATGGCAATCCACATGGCTTCACGATTCTGGACACCTCTCATGCCCAATGGTTCTTGTCAGGATGGGTCCATGAGGTCTACAACTACAGGACCAGCCGCCGTGACCGCATCTACTGAGGTCATCTGATCGACGGCCCATTACGCCGAGCTTGATCACCTCCCTAACGGGATGGTATTCTGAGACATTTAGATGCCGTCTGGTTAGTAGTGAAGTGAGATTTAAGCGTCGGCACCGCCCTAACGGGTTGGTAGCTAACCTTCTCGTACAAACAGCACAGGGCGCAAAACATCGGCCGCATAATTTGCTTTTGTTGCAAGTTGTTTTCGCTGTCACAAAGTGATATGCTCACGACGGTCTAGTGACTAGTCTTTCCTTCCATCGCCTTCGCCTCAACCGTTGCACTAAGATGCGCGGGGGGTGTATTTTGTGGAAGATGTAGCTAGTCACCTGCACCTACTGTCGTTCATTGGCTCAAGAAAATATGCGTCTGCATTCTGGCTGTTCTGCCTGTAAACATAGTTACTTGGACCCTTTATTACATGGACCCTTTGGGTCTTTGAGCTTCCGTTTTACGATGTGTCAGGATTTGAGGTTTAGGGCTTTAGGGACGGAGGGCCAGAATTTCAGGTGTAGGGTTTGAGGGGATTGGGGCTTTGTGGCTTTTTTGAGGTTTGATTTGAGTGGCATTGGGGTGTATTTGGTATCCGGGAGTAAGGTTCTAAAACGAGGTGCCAGTATGAATTGACTTCAGCATGTCCGGATCTGTTGGCGAGGAGGTGCAAGTTCGTCTTCGAATGATTGTCCAGACAGAGTCTGTTGCGAGCAAGTCTTTTAGTATGTTGTAATGTGTGTTCGTTATTGGTACTGGTATTTGTGTTAGTTTTGAAATTAGTGCTTGCTTCAAAGAGAGGACCATGAAATCGCCTGCACGCAGCCATTTGGATTTTTCTCTCTCATCTGGTTGTGAGGGCTTCTCTGGAAACCTGGTCCACATGTACAAATTTGCTTGCCAAGGTCAGCATGCAGTCACCTCCGAATTACAGCCTTCGGCCTTATCATCTCCTTCCAGGGTTCTCTGCAATTTCTCTTCAGTTATGGAGGCCCTCCGGGGAAGAGCCGGCAGTGCCTCTTTAAGAGCTTTCTGATTCTATCATACATTACCTGCGAAGATGCTTCAACACCCTGAGACCCGACCAACGAAGCCCACAACCCGAAGCCTCCAACTATCAGACTCGCCGTTGGCTTCTTCTTGGGTTTAGGGCTTAGGGTCTAGGAACATGGTTTAGGGTTTAGGGTCTAGGAACATGGTTCAGGGTTTAGGAATTAGGGCTTCCGGTTTACAGTAGGCGTCCTCTCGAGTTGTAGTTAATTTTTTCGCGCCTCCGACTTTTTCGAACCCCCAACTGCCTGCAGGGGCCCTCGCAGGGCGTGCCGGAAGGCTTCATCCATCTTCCCACCGCACCACGCAATACCGGAGGCAACGGGCAGAAGGGGTTTCGGGTATAGCGTCCTCCTCCTCATTCCCCTCGATACGGCAGTGATCGCCTTCATCTCATATAGTCATGCTGTAGGTTTTGTCACAAGCAAAAGGTAGGGCCAGGAGCTAATTCTTCCGCGAGCTTGACGGTTGCAGGCATCAAAACCCCAAGTGTACAAAGGACCCAAATAATTCGGTACTCTGTGTAGCATAGTCGTTATGTAGGTTGCTCTTTTGGAAGGTATAACATAACCAAGTAGGGAAAGAGCAAGGAGCACATGCCTGTCGATTTCGAAAGGAGTCTCGGGAAACCAACTCGCGGCCTTATGAGCAAGAGGCTTGAGTGAAGAAGCTCCGGAAAGTCCCCCATCAGAAATCTGAACCTAGACCTACCCACCTCTAAATTAGGGCATACACGCCCGATTTTGCGTACTTTGGGGATCCTGGAACGTGAGCAAATTCCCAAGGGTCGCAGGATTTCGGCTTTTTCAGACTCTTTAGATCTTGAGCCCGTGAGGAATTCTAACAACGTAGGCGTCAAAAAGATCCGAAGGCTAGATCCTAAACCCTAACTCCCTAAACCCTAAAACCCCGAAACCCTTCACCCTACACCCCTAAACCCTAAACTCCACAAGCCTGAGCCTCCCAGCCTTAGCAACCTCCCTAGCCCGTTTCTGATGTCCGGCTTGCAAAGCAGGCAATTGGCGAGGTGAGCACACGAAGAAGGCCAGATGCCGAAAACGTCACCAGAAAGTCTATCAATCACACATTGATGAAGCAATGAGCTTGAATAAGTTGTGGGGGAGGACGGAGGTTAAGATGATGATTCAAGATATAAGCATTATATGCTTATTTGAGGGGTATTCGGCTCTCCCAGTCCGTCACGTTTGGACAGGCGGCAGCTCTGTTGGGCTTCCCTATCAAAGGCTTTTTCTGTCGGGCTGGGTCGGCGCAAAAGTCCCACATAACCCCAAAGCCCAAACACCCCAAGATCCCAACACCCCCAAACATGCAAAAAGAAGAGGTTATGCAATCCATGGGGCGGTTCCATAGCCTCCCAAAGCCTATCCTTTTTTGAATATCACTTTGCATCTAAATTAATTAGGGGTAAAATGGAGACGCTGCAATACAATCAAAACGGAAAGGTCGTGTGTGGGAATTTAGAGTTTGAGTTGTGTGTTGACGTTAGAGAGATTTAGGGTTTAGAGGGTTTCGGGTTAGGGTTCACGGGTTTGAGGCTTACATAGGTTTAGTGGTGTAGGGTTCTAGGGTTGATTAGGGGGTGTAGAGTTCAGGTTAAGTGTTATGAATTTGGGGTGGCAGCCTGGCAAAGCCTCTGAGGGAGCGCGGTTGCCATCAAGGGGTTTGACAACAAAAACTCAGCCTATTTAGCGAAACCCTTACCCGAAGTTGCAAAACTCGAAACTCCTAAACAAAAGCGGCCAAAACGAACCCCGCGACCCCAAACCCAAGGGTCCTTGCAGGTTCTATCTTAGGCTTTACACGGATCCTGCAACAAAGTAGGTTAGTTATGGTAGGTTATGAAGGCATGCCTAATGCATAGAGCTTTTGCCGCTCCAAACTCCAAGCCAAATCCTGAAGGGAGCCCCGTCGCCGTCATCACATTTGCATTATCCTCGCCCAAGTGCTGCATTGATTCACTTCGTCGTAGAGGAATTTTGAAATAACCTCACAACTTGTTGGAGTAAATGCTGTGCAGTGATTCCTATGTAATTCCAATGGCTAACCTTTAGTTTTCCACGGATGCTGGAACATTATGGGGTGCCGTACAGGAAACGCTTCATATTTCCAAAGGTTAACCTGTAGTTCCCTTAGGATGCTGGGCAAGTCAATCGACAAGTATCTATAAAAAAAACTCCAGTCGCAATGAGTTGAGCCCTCGACCCTTGAAGACTCCACACCCTGAACTCGTAAAGCCCTAAATCCTCAGCCCTGAACCCTCAAAGCCTCAAAACCCTAAGCCCTAAACCCTGAACCCTAAGTGCAAAAGCCCTGAGGGCTGGGATCCTGTGGGCCGCCTTCGACACGGGCCCGGCAAGGGCTCCGGCAAGAGCTCTCGCAAGGGTTCCGGCGAGGGATCCGGCAGAGCAGCGTCACCAGGCTAAAACTTCGCTAAGTATGGTACTTTCCGAAAATAGGGGACTCCAACATAGTACCCTAAAGAGTAGGATCCTTAGTATAAGGATCCCAAAGTAAGGTACCCGATACTCCCATATTCAGCAGGGTTCGAAGGTTGTTTTCGCAGAAAAGACTCTGATCTCTGAGGTAGTACATACCGAAATCACGATAAGGCGCCCTGGAAATGCAGGTTTTTGGAGGTTTCAGGTAAGGTCGGTCAGAAGTATGTCCAGCCTAGTTATCGGGGTTGTGTTGGATCTGTTTCTTCGGGGCGTACGGGATGAAAGTGTTCCGGGGAGCATATGAATATGAGATTTCGGCTACGTGGACATCCCGGAAACCCGAGTACTCCGTTGCTTTTTCTGCAGGTTTTGTTGAAACGCCCAGATCCCGAAACCCCTAAACTCTAAACCTCAAACCACGATCCCATCCCTCCCCTCAAAAAAAACTACGCATTGAAGTTGTCATCCCCTGGACGCGGACCTTTGAACCCTAAACCTTAGGGCTTGCCCCGTCACAGTAAGAGTCTATAACAGGGCTACTATTGCGGGTCAAATATATCTAAACTATGAATATTCAACTATTAAATATTGAGTGGGGGCTGTACCCAACCTAAACCCTTGAAGCCTGAAGCACTCAACCCCACAACAAGGTCGCAGCCTGCAGAGGCTGCTGCGGCGAAGGCCATGCCTGTCCTTTTGCGGATTGGGTTTTATACAGTACGGTTCAAGATTTAATACATCCTGCTAGAAGCATGAATAATCGAGCACCACACGGCAGCATCGCACCGTCTATAGCATTCCATGGCATGCCACGCACCTGTATAGCAGGTCAAGGCAGAGCAGAACAAAGCAAAACAGAGCTGAACAAGCACAAAGCATATCACAGCATGACAACAACCCGCAACACATAACATATGACACAAGCCACACAACACATCACAATACATCGCAATGTAAAATGATGAACCACATCGTAGCATAGCATATCACACCGTAACACAACCTGTCGCAACATAGAGCATCAAGGCATGCCCTGACATTGACGTGGACAGGATATGAGCATAGGCTAAATCAATGTACCATATCACAGCATCACGTATCGTATCATGTTATATCTTGGGTTGGGGATTATGCCGGGGTTAGCATGGGTCCCGAATGCTGCAACAGTGACCGAATCCTGCAGCTAGTGACAGGACAGCCTCAAAAGAAAGATAGATGAAGAGCCAGGCCGGCGGCAGATGAGGGCTCTTTCAGATTTGTAGAAAGATTCTGGTGCAGCGTTAGGGTTTAGAGTTTAGGGCTCAGGGTGTATAGGGGTTAGGTTTGGTTCGGCTTTAGGGGTAAGGGTGTAGGGCGTTCGGGTGTAGGAGCTATAGGTGTAGAAGGATGGTCTAGGGTTTAGGGTGTAGGGGTGAAAGGGTTGCAGAAGGACTCTATGCGATTTTCAGAAAGGGGAGTGAATACGGGTGCTTCAAGAGTAGGAAGTCTGTGCGGAGCCGACACAACGGAGTAGGAAGCCAGCTAAACACCGAAACCGATGCAGTAGGCTTTTGACAGCTATTTGGGCCCCCGAATGATATACCATTCCATTATACTGTTACTTGGACCCTCTGGGAGCCCTTCCCCTTTGTGTTCGAAGTGTCTTGAAGTATTTGACAAGATCCCGCAGTCGGGCGTTTGTGTCCTTTATTTGTTTTTGGGGATTGCATCTATGAGTAATGAATATCGTTCAGGCTGTGAAGCTTCTTGAGTTTCGATGACTCAGGAGGAACTTTCATGCAATTCGGGTTTCCGATGCTTTGGGGGTGTCGAGTCTGTGGGAATTTTGGAAAGTATGGGATTAAATGGTTTAGGCTTCAGGTCTTAGGGTTGTATACTGATTGGTGTCTCGAACAGTAGGGTAGGGTCGTCTTCACAAGAACACGGAAAAAGAGGACCGTGTTCGGGAGGCTCCGCCCCAGCTCACACTCCATGCAAGCACTTCGGTTTGTATTCCTGTCTCCCAAGCTTTACAATAACATTTCTGTTGATCAAAACGTTGCAGAGTTGGGTTTGGCATCCTAGGACTCGATCTGAGGGGTTGCAAAAGCCATGCGGCTTCTTTAGTGTTTGGGTGTTTGAATGCGAGCGAGGAGCCCTATTCCTTGGGCCTTAAAAGCTCTGCAGTTTCCGACATAACCCCACATCCCCAAAACTCTTCGTTCGACGAAAGCCTAGAAAAAAGCTGGGCCTTATAGGCCCTATGCTGCAACTCTTAGATTACACCCCTGAACCCTGCGCCCAAAGCCTGATAACCCCAAGCCCGCAAGCCCCATCAGCCGCAAAACGCAAGAATAAACTTACAGTAGCTGCCAAAGTTACAAAAACGGTTAGCCCAACGACAAGGTCAGACAAAGCACCCTCACTCCGAACCCCCAAACCCTAAAGCCTAAACTTTAAAGCCCCACCCCTAATTATATCAGCCGTAGAAAACGAAAGAAGCAGAGCTTTCACAGGAGGCCCGGCGTTGAAAAAGCCGGAGCTCTCTTCTCAGACCCGACCGGCAGGCCAGGGAGGGGTTCCTTCTAAGGTCATTCGGGGTTTAAGGTGTATAGGGCTGGTTTAGGGTTCTGGGTGTGCAAGCCCTAAACCCCAAGCCCCCCCGACTGTTGTTCAACTCAGGCTCTTTGAGAGCTAACTTGAACTGCCAGAATAATCGGGACGTTGCATCAACGTGGGTTACCACATCATGGTTTTTTACAGTAGAGTCCCTTTCTTTCAGACGCACTTTCTTTCTTTTTTTTTCAGTAGAGTCCCTCTAAAGTGTGACTTGAGATATAAGACCCTGGAAGAAAGTCCTAAGACCTAAAACCTGTCAAAGGAGGCCCCGAGTTCGAAGAGCCGAAGCTCTCCTCCCAAAGTACGCCAGCAGGCTGGGAGTCAGTTTCGGGCTGAGGGGTTGAGGGTTTCGTGCCAGGGCTTTTGGGGCTATGTTTGTTTTGTGCTTAGCCTCTTGCGCTTGGGGTGTAGGGCGTAAGGCTTGCCAAGGCTTTGGATTTAGCGCTTGGGAGCACAACCGCACCAGCCCCAAGTCAGCCCCCTGGCTCAGGGACGGGCTTACTCTGCCTGGCGTGCCTGGGCCATGTGCCACATGGCAGCGGCTGAACCCTGCAGCACATGCGGGCTTGGCACCTGGGCCCAGGGTCATCTCGCAAGGGACTTTGGCAAAGAGTGGAGCCGGAGAGACTGCGATGTGAAGGGTGCCGCGCTCAGGATCGCTTTCATCAGGCAGTCCGGTGCCGCGATTGCACCGGTAATTATAGGGGCCTGAGTAAATTGCCCAATATACTATTTTGGGGGTTCCTTATTATAATATATGGTATCGCGGGCCCCAAAACGCTATTCTAATGCCCCTATAGTACTTGGCACGTGGTGGGACTGGCCCTCGCGGCCATCCTCTCTATGGCTGCCGGCACAGTTTGGGCAGGTTACGGAGGCGATACTTGGAGGTTCATGGGTTTTTATAACAGGGGTTATAAGTCATTAAGGTAAATATACTCATAAGCCTATTCGGGGACTTATAACCCCACATATAACTAGCCATGAACCTCCAAGTAGAGCTTTGCATTGGATGTTGAGGAGTGGGCCTTTTTGTTATGATCTTTCCCACTCTGCGCGGTTGGTGGCGGCCCAGCCACCCAAACCTCCTCCTCGTAAAGTTTACCTGGACCCTAAGGAACCTACCTTTTAGGGCCCCCCTAATATGATTTCTTTATATAAGTCCCTACAAAGGTAGGTCACGTGGGGTTAAGGTAGACCTAAACTTAGTTGGGAGATGGTTAAGATCTCTCTGCCTTATGACCAGTTAATCTCACGGGGCGGGATTGTGGCATTTTTGCGTGTTTGCGCGAGTCTATAATTGGTTTCTTGAAAGACGTCTTGCTTCAAGATTTCGTGAGAGTACGTGTGGGAGTTCATATCATGTTGGAAAGGTTTCGGGATTGCTGGCTCTAGGATATCTGGTTTCGGTTACTCTCGGGGCCATAAAAGCTGTGCAAAAGAGATGACAACTACAACTCATACGCTTGAAGGCACGTTGGAAAGTCTGTAGGATAGAGGGCTGCATTTGTTGGGTGCAGATCCCGGCCCTATCCCGCGACATTTCAGCACTAAGGCCACCCTCCCTGTGCCCGTAAATGGATTAATATGACCCGCAGTATCGGCTCGGTAGCCGAGTGAGCATGCTCTACACTTTTTGGGATAATATCATGCCTTGGAGAACTGAAAGTTCACAGCCGCATGAGAGTATATACATGTACAAGCTCACGCCCAACCGTCAACCCAAATCGTTCGATGGAAGAGCACACACCTACATCCTGATGAAAGCTTAAAGGAACAGAATCGACCTCAGACGCCTAATGAGCCTTACCAAACCCGAACAAGCCACAGTTATGAATCCTTAATAGTCCCTGCACCCGAAATCTCTAAGTCCCTAAACCCTGATCTAGAAACCCTAAACACCTAAACCCTGAACCCAACGCCCCAAACCCTAAATCCCAATTTACATGACCTGAATTTTGTTAACTTATAGATACTAAACCCTTAACCCGAATCTACAAGCCCTAAATCCTAAATTATGAACACTGGCCCCTTCTCAGCCCATCGAGCCGCAGGAGGCCTTGAGAAGAAGCAGCCTGAGCTCTCCACCCCGATCGCCCTTTGGGGTTTAGGGTTAAGCGAGTTTCGTGTCTAGGATTAAGGGTTTAGGGATGAGTTGAATAACGGCTGAGGGTTCAGATTGAGTCCACGCCTCGGCGTAGCAACGTGAGCCCAATGCCAAATCCTAAAGCCCCCACGACCCCAACAGCGAAGATTTGAATCCTGTGAGCCCTAGAAAGCTTCGATTGCCCTTTCAAACCCTGCGAATGGGGGTCCTACAGAATTGCAACAAATGTTGCCTTGTAGAGTTCCTGGTTCTCGTAGAATATAAACCCTAAGCCCTTCGCAACCCTAAACCCCAAAGCCGGATTCTACTGATCAGGGCCCTGCTCCCCCGAAGGCACCGAGCCGAGAATGCCGGAGGTCTCCCTCGAGAGTTCTCCAACACCTGCAGGCTCGGGGGCCTTGCGGCTCAAGACTCGGCTTCCATACCCTAAACCCAAAAGGGTTACTTTAAGGGCCCCTTTAAAGGGATCTATAGGGATTGTATAAGGGTATATAGGGTTAAGGACCTACTTAGGACGAAATGAACCCTAAGAGGGTTTAAGGCTCATATACCACATAGGGATTCATAGTATATGGGTATAGGGCCCCTACTTTTAAGGGTCATTTGGTCCTTCAGGTAGAATCGACCCGGGTTCTGAAACAAAGGTTCTACAAAAAGGCTTCTGCACTCAGCAGCACCCTATGGGTCTGAGGACTCACCTGGAGGATCGGGGGACGTAGTAAGTAGGTAATAAGTAGAGTTATAAGTACCCTAAGAGGGATCCTAATTGGGGTTATGGTACTTATAAGTCCCCAAAATAACCAGTTACTAAGTCCCCCGACCCTCCAAGCATGCTCTTGGCAGTCTGGTTCAGGGTCTGCCCCAATAGGGAACTATGGCCAAGCCTATCAAGGCCCCGGGCCCGAAACCGAGAGACTAAAGAGTGGTACCTTACTTAGGAGTACTTAGAAACAGTGTTTAATTTACATCTTGGTTTTTTATAGTCCGTAAGAAACAGCTAAAATTCTAATTTTTGCTAGGGTTCTAGGTTCAGTATAGACTATAGAGTGGTGCGTCATAGAAGGTATGAGGAGCAATATGCAGTATGGCTCAGTACGGTGCCTATAACCATATGACCACATGATAATTATATGCTGGTTCATTTTACAACATACCCTAATACCAGTTGAAAAACCCAATATCTAGGCCAACAGGCCCGAACTCGCCTCTCTGATCGACAGAACTCAGCCTACCGGAAATCCTCAACCTCCAACCCTAACGCCAAAGATCTCCAAGGCCGACTCTCCAAAGCAAGGCTTTAGACCCTCGGCCCTGAATTCCAGGCCAAGCCCCACACGGCACACACTGAACCCTCCTCCTCAGCCCTCACCGGCGACAACCACAAGGCTCTGCTGCACCAGAATTCCCAGAATGACAGTCTTCCAAAAGTTCAAGTATCCCAAACGCTGCCCTGTTAGTGACAGAGCAGCGGGACTACTCTTGCATAGGGAGTGGGTCCTTGTAACAATCCTTCCCCCAGCTGGCCGAAGATCGTCCGCAGCCGAGCACCCTGCGAATTACGGTTCGCTGATAACTTCCAGGATCTGTCCAATGACCCCTTCTTCCTGTGCCCTCGCTGCTCGCAAACTCCTGCCGCTGGGGCAAGTGCTACAGCCAGAAGCACAACTTTCACCTCCTGCGGGCAAAATGCTCCGCTTGCGATCCATTGGCTGGTGAGGTGATTTCACATGCAAAGTCTTTGCTTACCATCCGCACAATCTCTCGGAGATTCGTGGCTAGTTGGTGGCATGGTGGTTCTGGATCCGTAGAACCGCTTTGCACCATGTAAGGCTGCTAGGCCACGTTTGATCTGCAGGTGGGGAGGGGGGGGAGAAACACCTCATGTGCGAAAGATAAAGTGATTCGCCAGATGCTGTGCAAGAATCCAAAAGTCTAGGCATCAGACGCCCGGCCCGTCCGAGACCTAACACAAAGATTCATAACATTCTGTTAAGAGGCGACATGGAACGCTAGCACATACAAAGGTGCCCCGTGTCACTTGCTATGACATGATTGTGCGTACCCATCAGTCCAACACACTCATGTGCTAAATAGTATGAATTTGTTGAACAGATGCTTCCGCTTTAAACGTACCACATGCTTCCATCCAAACTCGTAGTGCAACACATGCATGCGCTGAGAACCACGCGAATATAGGTATTGCAATAGGGGGCCCCTCTCTCATGTTTCCTAAAAACTTGAGACCTTAAGTTCAAGACCTATCCCCAAAACCATAATTAGCCCCTAAACCCCAAGGTCCCGCAGATGGAAGTCTTTCGCTACAAAACCGTAAACGTCTCAAACCCTACTCCCTAAGGGTCCAAGTAGTCCTTGTTAATGGTTATTGGTACTTAAAATGGCCCAACAGTCCTCTAGAAAAGAGTAGTTTCACCCCTAGGGTATTCCCTAAAAATTCAACCCGAAAGCCTAAACGCCCTAAACCCTCAAACCCTAAACCCTCAAACCCTAAGCCCTACACCCTCAAGGAGCTCTAAGCGAGCCGACTTCGCCACCGAAGCCTGTCGAGCAGGCCCCTTGTTCTGAGCGTAAGATACCCAAGGGGTCCACGGTTCCATAAAAGTCCCGACACGGGGTATAAGAGTTTCTAAACGGGTTTCGAAGTGTCTAGAAGGGTCATCAGAGTTTCTCTCAAGGGATTTACAAGGGGTTGCTGCAGGGAGTTTCTAGCAAAAGGGTTAAGCAACTAGCGCTTTAAGGGTTTAGGCCTCAGTGTTTTTCAGTGTGATTCCTTCGTTAGCGGATTTTGGAAGATAGGCTAAATAACTAGGAATTGTAGATTGCTTTAATTTCGGGTTGAATATAGAGGTTTCAGATTCAGGACAGTCCTTGGGGGATTGGTAGGGTGTCATAATAACTAGTTATAAGTGTTCAAACGCGTGCGGTGCTGAGGGGATTGTCAAGGATTCCTTCCATAATCTATCTAGAAGTCTAGGTATCTGTCCCCTTATCGATAAAAGATTCCAAAAGGGATGGGGCCCTCAACGTCAAAGACACTTCATGCTCTGTCCAAAGCATGATTCTTATGGCTCCAGAAATTGGGGGCCTGCGGTTGATGATATACATCCTGCATAAACTTAAGGACCCTAAGCCCTAAGCTATGGAAAACATGTGACATGATTATGCCTTATTGTGGGTAATGCAGAATCTTATCATCAACAGCATGGTACCCTAAACCCTAAACCCAGCAGTAGTCTGCAGTAGCCCACTCATCACCTGCTTTCTTGGCATCCAACTCAGGGGCCGACAATTTCGGACTTCTTCGACACGATGGATGGACCTGGAGAATCTGTTTGAGAAGCCCGGACGGGCATCGGTTCTGTTTCGGCCACATAAGCAAATGCATTTCTCCGGTTTTGGATTTTGAAGTTTACGTGCTTTTCCGGATATAGAGTTCAACTGTTTGTGCTTGAAAAAGTAGAACAAAGTCTGGGACAAATTGGACGATAGTACAAAAGGGAACGTTATGGAGTGTTCCTGCTGCTAGCTGTTGGCTCCTGCGTCCAGGGCTGGGGTCATGGGGCTCCGTCTCGGTTTAAGTTCTGGTGACTCATCGTTTGCAACCGCCTTTGTGCTCAACTCCTGCCATGCTGCAACCCTCGTTTGGGCATGGATCTGATCTGTGCAATTGAACAAGTCTTTCAGCTTCCTCCTGCTCTCTCCTTCCCTTTGCCTTAACTTCTTCTTGAGGCTTTAGTGCACACTTGCACACACAACCAACACACACAAACACACACACAGACACAGACACACACAGACACACACACACACACATTCACACACACACACACACACACATTCACACACACACACACACACACACACACACACACACATTCACACACACACATTCACACACACACACACACATTCACACACACATTCACACACATTCACACACACACACACACACACTTACACACTTGTGACAGCTCAGGCACCTCGGGACGTCAACATGATGACTCGATGGCTCTCACATGCCGCAGCGTGCGTGAAAACGTGCGAGCCGGACTGAGGGTTTGGGCTTCAGACTCTTTGTTCAAAGCCCGCGGGAAGGTGAACGTAGGTTTTTCTGGCCATATGTAACTGAACAACAACTGAGCCTTTCTCATGAATCCGGCTCCTCAACCCGACCCCTGAAGCTCCAACCCCTGACTTTGAACCCTTAACACCCTAGATGTAGACTCAACACTATCTCAACACCCTGTGCCCTTGTCGAACATTGACACTCTGAGCCCAAGGCCCTGAACCTGGCAACCCAAACTCAAAAACTGAAGCCCTCTCCGAGCCCCAAGCATCAAACCTAGACTCATTTAGAATCAGCGCGGGAAGCCTGAAACTTATTTGTCGTGCTTGGAGTGACCAAACATGGGACCATGGGTTTAGGAGTCGTTCGGGTGCAGGGTTCGGAATGAAGGGATGCTTCCCAACCTGCGGCTTTTAATGATTCAGGTATGAGTCTTTAGGGTTTCGGGTCAGTGTGCGGGTCGGCGTGCATGCTTGTAGTTTCCTTCCTTAAGGACGAAATGAACCCTAAAAGAGTTTAAGGTTCATATACCATATAGGGCTTCATAGTATATGGGTATAGGGCCCCTACTTTTAAGGGTCGTTTGGTCCTTCAGTTGCCTTTGAATTTCAATGCTACTTGTTGAAGAGTTGTCGTGGCAGGGTACTTCCCAAGTCGCCCTTTTATTCAACAGGACATGTGCAGAGCTTTCGTGACACAGTACACGAAATGAAGTTTTAGGCTTCATGTGAACCCCGAGTGTTTCTAGAGAGTCGGCCGACACATGGGTGACCGGCGAAACAACGAATAGTATAGGGGCCTTAGTTGTTAGAATAGGGCTTCGAGGGTTTCTTATTCCCATTATACTATGAGACACCTCCAAACCCCATTCTAATTATTAAGGCCCCTATACTACATCAAACAGGTCTCATGTTACACGTTGGGAAGACGTCGCGACCCATGGCCACTGTTAAGATCTTAGATTGTAAACTCCGGATACAGTGCGCTCTGAACCCAAAAAATCTCGGGGCCTTAATTGTTAGAACGGTGTTTCGGGGGTTCCTTATTGCCATTATAGTATAATACACCTACGGACTCACAAACTTGCTCTCCAAAGCCTGCCTTCCCTAAACCGATTCATCTGACATCCCGGCAAAGTCTCAAAGCCCCATTTTTCAGAAAGGTCCCACATCCTAAATCCTGATCCCTAAGCCATGTTGACAATCACAGTCTGCCTTGCATGATGAATCACTTCTTTCCTTTGCACTACGCAGCGTTGTCGAGGGCAATGAGACCCCAATGTCGGTCCTAAGTAGCTATAGTAAATCAGCAGGATCCATACAACCCGAAGCCCTGAAACCGCAGCCCAACACTCCATGTTTGCGAAGTCCCACTGTCCTCCACAGAGCAGACGTTTGCACACGGAGATCATAACAACGCAACGCCGTAGTTGCCGGTAGTGGGGTGAGAAGCTCTACAAGTTCCACACCCCAAGCCTCAAGCCCTAAAACGAAGCCCTGAACCATGAACTTAACCCTAAAACCATTTGAACTGGGACGAGTGCTTTCCCTCTCCCACATGGCATGGCTTCTGCAGTGAGCCAGGCTCTGCGGTTGGCGTGGACGGGTGTAACTCTGTAGGGATCAGGTAGAGATGCCGGGTTTCGGGTATGTCTCGCATGGTAGGTCTAGAGCATTTCAGGGTTTAGGATGTCGGGCTGCCGTTATTTTTGGTTCGAATTCTGACTTGCCTATGCTTCTGGATCGACTTACTATTTGCCTTTAAGGCTCCTGGGAACCTGGAGAGAAAACACAATTCCGTTCTGCAGAGATTAGGAAGAAATCCGGAGCAACATAGCCAAAAACGTATATCTCAGCGTGTAGCAGTCACCGTCATGTTTTCTGAAACCTGCCCTGGTCATCGATGATACCCGCAGCCCTGCACCGGAATCCTTAAAGCCCTTCTAAACTTCTAAACCCGGAGACCCACCTGATCCCTATTCCCCAACAGTTGCCTAGGGCTCCAGTTACCTAAGTAGGAACCTGATTAAGAAACCCTGGCCCTACAACCCCCCCCCCCCCCCCAAATAGTAGGATTCATATTTAGAACCGAATAAAGGCCCAAGGTTTCTTAATCAGGTTCCTACACTACTTTGGCAACTGGAGCCCGTTGGGTTGGTTTCCTCAACCTACAATGTAGGAAACAAAAGACGTAGTAGCAGTGCTCTTTTGCGCTGGGTTCCAGTACATCTATGGGTCACCCAGCCTCAAACGGTGATGTTAGATATTCTGGCCCTGATAGATATGTATATGTATATGCGAGCTGCGTGATCATATCTATCCGTCTACCCGTTTATCTAGATCTATCTATCTCTCTCTCTCGCTCTCTCTCTCTCTCTCTCTCTCTCTCTCTCTCTCTCTCTCTCTCTCTCTCTCTCTCTCTCTCTATCTGTAGATATACAGGTACATATGTACATACATACAGATACATATATGGCCATAGACGTAGATGTTCGTTTTGGTGACCAGGCTTTCCGCGGTGGTTCCACGTGGTGTCTACTGCTTGGGTCTGAGTCACACCTTGACAACCCGCTCGTCAAGGTCAGATCAGATACCCCAAACCCTTACAGCAGAAGCCAAAAAGTTGGAAACCCCATGGCCTCAATCCTTAAGAGTAATGTATAGGGAATCCCAGCACTCTTTGGCCTTAATCCGGTTTCCAACTTTATGGGGTTTACTGTAAACCCTTAAACCCTAAACCCATACACCCAAAATCCTTAAACTCCAAACCCTAAGCCCCTGAACAGGGTTTTGATGACTGATGCTCATGGGCTTACTTGCGAATTCCAGCGGCTTTGGTTTGGTGTTTCGCTTAATTGGCAATCCGGTTTCTGGCGCAACTGATCTGCACCCTTAGGAAGAAATGGGGCACACGGGATCCTACTAGGGTGTCAAGTATCTTCGATGGTAATCTAATCTTCTTCAGCGCTCCTTTGAGTGTCCTGCGTTAGTGGCCCTTGTCGTCGGTGGTGCCTCCACATGCAATCTGAAATGGTAGGAAAAGGGTGCGATCCTTCATAAGACGCTTATAAACCCCTATTAAACCCCACACGAAGCCTCACGCAAACCCTACAAACCCTAGGTCGTCACGCGCCAACCCGAAATAGAACGTCGGGCAAGTGCTGAAGAGCCCCCGAGCCCCTCAAGCCCCAAACCCCTGCGCCCTAAGCCCTCAGCCCTTGAAAGGAGCCCTCGAAGTAGCCCTTAAAGGGACTCCTGCACTCAAAGGATCCAGAAAACGGAACAGCTATAGGATCCTGTAAAGACTTTGGCAGCCCTACTACAGAGGCCTCAACAATGAGCAAAGGGTGTTGGGGGATATAAGAACATGGGTGGTTGTCAAAATTATGGTACCTTTTTGGGTGCCCTCAATAATAGGTGCCGTATTGTAACAGGGACCCAAAAAGTTTTGGATCATAATTTTGACAACCACCCATAGAAAATAAGGAACCCCCAAGTGTATTGGTAATTGTCTAGTCCCCACTCTCAACCCTAAAGCATCCCCCTAAACCATCCCCTAAACGCTAAACCCTAAACTCTTTTCAACTCTAAACCCTAAAACCTAAACCTGGGTTCATCCCCCGAAAGCCAGCTGCCTAGGTCTTCTCAGTGAGCGGCCAGTACCATCCTGTTTAGGGGCAGCCACGGGGTCATAGGCAGAAACATCTCGAAGACCACTTGGGTTCAACTCATTGTTGGGTTCAGGGTGTATGATGTCCATTTTGCGAGAGTATGACACCCAAAGGGTCCAAGTATCATCATGGTATATACTTAGACCCCCAAAATGCCCTCTAAGTATATACCAGAATGATACTTGGACCCTTTGGGACATGGAAAGTATTTAAGAAGTATCCTAATGAAGCGACCCCCCTCCCTGAATCCGAAAACTCGCTAGATCCTAAACTCCCAAAGACTCACAACAGCTTTGCCTTAACCCCTGAACCCGCAAGTCTACACAACTTTCGCAAAGAGGGCCATAAGGGTCAACAAATTCAACAAGCTGATCAACGCAAATTCGAGTCTGAATCCTTTAACCCTCAGTGCCCTGTCTTGAACCCTACAGCAAGCTCTACTCGCCTTAACTTCTACAAAACTATCCTTCTCTAACAGCCATTGACAGCCGATGAAAACCTTAAGCCTAAACCTTAAGGCCTTCTTCTCCAAAGCCAGGTTCAGGGTTTAGGGGTACAGGGTTCCGGGTTTCGGTTTGAGGTTTAGGGTTCAGGGAAGTT